CAAAATCGCAACCCATGGGATCCTATGAGAGAAACGTTTCGTATCGTAATTTCAATTTTCCTTGCGAAGCCTTGCATTTACAAAGTACGTATTGTTTACTCTTGCGTTGAACAAACATTTGTTTACATTCTGGTTTAGCTACTTACAATGCGTGTTCGATATGTATGTACGTGCTCATAAGAAATAGACGTACTTAAATATGTACGACGAGGTTTATTATACAAAAATAATCTGATCTAGGAACCTGTTTTTCTGTAGACTTCAGAATCATCATCATTAGCTTCATCAGCGTATAAGTGCCCATTGCTAAGCAAATGCCTCTTCTCACAAGGAGAAGGTTAGGGTATTAATCACCACGCTTACTCAAGGCGGATTGGCGATTTCAAAATTATTATATGAAATTATAATTACAGGTTTCCTCACGATGTTTTCCCTCAACGTCTGCCAGTGGTGTTTAATTAATCTTAGAAAGTACATGTAACTCGGAAAAAGACACATTGGTTACTTTTTGTACCAGCACCCTCATGCACAAGAGACGAGCACCTCAACCTCTGGACCATCACGACAAATCCAGAATATTCAATTCAATTTATATCACAAACGCATTGCGTTTCGTTAATTTGAAGATATGACGTCATTTCTACAGACTGCCTCAAACAGCACATGTTCATGACACCAAATGGATTGGGTTAGACGAAAAATTATGTTAACAATAGCCACAATAGGATTTTATCAACCCCTATCCCACGTCTCATTCATATTAAGCGAACCAGATTAAAGAAATCACAGTAATTCTCTTTATGAATACAAAATGGCGTACATAATTATGAGAGCACTCAAATAAATAACCTTTTCATAATCGGGACAAAACATTCCTTCACAAAGGACAAAGGGAAATCTATTAAGGAGTAGTCTGGAGTACGGTTTAACCCTACAATGTCAACGTTGTCTTGGACATGTTTGTAGATAGTTAGAGAGATAATTAAGGCAAAATTCTATTGTTGGTTTTTTTTAATTGATAACGCCTGACCAATGTTTTGTAATTCTTCATTGCTGCCTCTACGCATTGACTTACTATACTTGACATAAAGTACTAGGAGCAGAGGGTGTCTACGGAGGTCCTGCATCTCGACCGGTCTTGAGCTTCTCGCTTCACCTCGCTCCACGTCATTCCGATGCTCGCCGCTTCCGCCACCACAGCAGTACCACCACAGATATTTTTTTTTCATATTTCTGTTAGTACCACAGTTCGCCGCCAGGTTTGTCGGGGACGCTTCCCTTTTGGCCTGGGGATTCCAATCTAGGGATTGCTTAAAAATATGCCTCTACGGATTAGAACCTTTTTAATTTCGCTTTGCACTTATGACTTTGTTATCAGTTTTCATATTGCATTCGATATCCGTTATCTCGTGATGCTCTTCAACGCCAATAGGTATTTTGCGTATAAACTCACACATTCAAATCGAACAACTAATACAAGGAATTTTACTTTACTAAAAAAAAAGGTTTACATATTCAATGAAAAGGTAGTATAATAGTAGCTTTTTTACGGTACAAACCCGCCACAACCTCCCAAAACCGCTGTAACTCCTGTAAGCCAGGATTTACAGTAGATACAACCATAAAAACACCGGAACACTGAAGTCCGGCGCGTCCGTAGTATAATAGTAGCTATTACACTTGCTCCAAAATAGCATGCTAAAAAGCGTTCTATTTAGCATGCTCAAATATCGAACGCCTATCAATTCGCAAACATATCCGAAATAAGCATGCTAATTTTGAGCAACATGCTACTAATTGACAAATGCTCATTTGAAGCATACTTTCGTGCTAGAAATTAATTAGTAATTTCACCAGTCCTTTATATGTAATCATGTAATGCAGAGCGAATGTTTGTCTAGTGATTGACTATCACCAGACTAGGCACAACTCTAGATAGAGGTGCCAAACCAAAATGTGCTAAGGATCACATTTTAAGTCATAAGGACGAAAACTTTTGTGTAATACAAGAAGCTAGGCTAAGGGTTATTTTCGACCAGTGTTATGGTTAAATAGAACCTTGCTATAGATGCGTTTGGCATCCACCAATCATATTCATTGGTACACAGCGCTTAGCACTGGTGGCAACGGATTCAACTAAGATATGGAAGGATGCGTGTTATGGATCTGTGCTATGGATGAGGGCTATACTTGTGTGCTATGGATGTGTGATATAAATGCGTGCCGCCCTTGCCGCTTCCCTAATATCGATACATTGCATAACTCGCGCAGCTACTTAGCACCGCCGACGCAGCTTCATAGCACATCTTACTCGCACCGCTACATCGATTTAGTATCAGTGGAAACGGCCACATAGTTTCACAGCTTAGCTATTATATCCATGCAACATACCTACGTAGTACATTTCTGGTGCAAAAGCACTTTGTCAGTATTTGCTTAAATGCTAGCAGAAAGAAGTTTATACCTTCACATGCTAATTATAACAGACGAGTCATAAGTTCATTTACATACAGTTGTGCTTAGTTCTATGTCACTGTCCTAGTTACTGAGGTTAGTTCGCTCACTAACAAAACTCGCTTTGATAAAGCTATCGGTGTGAGATTGTGTTTATACTTAAGGGAAATTAACAGTGATAATGGAGTCAGGTGATTTGTTGTGTAGTGCGAAGTGAAATTGAGGATACAGAAGTTTATCAATATATTATACACTACAAAATAGTGACCTATATTGTGTACAATAGGTCACTTGTTTATTTCATTCACTTGTTGAGTTGTATTCCAAACACCCGTATCATAACACACATGACATCAATAGCCTATAAGTGGCCACTGCTGACCAAAGGCCTCTTCTCACATGGAAGAGGTTTGAGCATTAACTCGTCGAGTACCGGTTTTGTAGACACAATTATAGAACAATAGGTTGCGGTCACCGGTGACCGCTTGGTGTTTGACAGTTTAAACTGTCAAACACCAAGCGACAGTGACAGTTTAAACTGTCAAACACCAAGCGACAGTGACAGTTTAAACTGTCAAACACCAAGCGGTCACCGGTGACCGCAACCTATTGTTCTATAATTGTGTCTACAAAACCGATACCCAACGAGTTAATCACCACGCTTGCTCAATGCGGGTTGGCGATTTCCAACTTATAATTAGAAATTATACGTCCAGGTCTCCTCACGATGTTTTCATTTACCGTTTGTCAGTGGTGTCTAAATAATCCTAGAAAAAGTCAAGTACCAACTTGCCGTTGGTACCTGGTTCGAGCATGAGAAGCGGGCGTCTTAAACCTCCGAACCACCCTGACACCGAATATCATCATGTCACCACCCATGTCTATAAAGATTTTCTTCTATTTAGCAGTTAATATAATACAACAGAAGGTCTATGAAAGCGATTTGTCACCATAAATGTAATACTGCAGAAGTATAACACAGATGTTGCGCTCCGGGTGGACTCGTGATCGCAATTTGTAAGCAGAAACACGCAGTAAATTCACTTTAATGTTATGAAGAGAATGTAAAAAATCCGCAAAAGGAATTTTATGTTACACTTTTTAAAAGTTATTTTACGCTGCTATTTTTTGGATCAGAATCTTGGGACTTTTATATGATATTTTGTTGATACATACTACTTGATACTTCTTGGCCAATACGGTAAATGCGTATTTTAGGGTTCAGGCCTATAACTATGTATAATATTGCGTCGGAATGTGTGCGTTGTGTAATTGCTATATACTGCATAAAAAAAAAGTTACACCTGGATTGTTAGCGAGACTTAACAATCGAAAACCGTCTTAATAATTATATGGAAATAAACCTTTCGCTACTGAATCATTCCGTACTTCCTTATCTGACCATAAGGAACTCGGTTGGTGCGGTGGCTGGGCAACAGGTTGCCGTGCAACGTGTCGCGGGTTCGATTCCCGCACGGAACAACACTTCGTGTGATCCACAAATTGTTGTTTCGGGTCTGGGTGTCATGTGAATGTAAACTTATATGTTTGTAAACGTACCCACGACACAGGAGATAATCCTAGTGTGGGGCAACGTTGTTTTTTAAAGAAAAAAAAACTAAAAACAAAGCTATTTCTAAGACATGAAGAAGACGCACCTATTTGTCCAGTGTCTCCAGGTAGCTAAATTATATTTCGAAAGTCAATCAAGGCGCTCGCGTCCGTGTGCCGATAATTGTATGTTAGTATACGGCGTACCCATTACGAACTTCATGAAACGATATTGAAGTATCAAGAAGTGAGTTCAAACATGGCTGGTAAGGAAGAATCGAAACTAGTTACAAGTTGGAAGTGTGACGTGTTCATTAAAATGGGTGACCACTGGCACTGACAACAATTTAATGAATTAACAACAATTAACAATTAAGTTTCTTTATATTCAGAATTATATTATGCTATCTTGTCCATATAGTCAATGGAAATAATAGCGTAATAATGCTCTCCAGTTTCTTACTCTTTATCTCCAAAACTTAAACCATAAAAATACTCCGTTCTGACATGAAAGAAAGACAAATACCTTATATGCATATTTCTTTACGACATATAAATGTATTAGGGTTAACAAAAAAATATTTTTAATCACTATAACTTAAGTATGTTTCACTTATTGGAGACTCGATTGCCAAAGAAGAAAAAAAAAATTATGTTTCATAATCAAATTGAATGCTTAATGTAAAACATCGTACTAAAAAGGAAGAAAAGAAAAGAGTGTCCGTTGTACACGAAACGTATTTTTAATTAGTTCTGTAAAATAAAACGAAGGCGCTGCGTAACTCAGCCACTGTTAATAAAAGACACTATTAATTTTTCATGGCGTTAGTCAGCATTATGCAAATTGCAATTTAGCAAATTGCTCCATGAATTATTGGATCCAACTTTGTTGGAAGTAATGCAACAACGCCAACGCCAGCGACAAATCAAAATGGCGGATTTTTAAACGTTGCGTTTTAAAATTGGAACTAACGAACTTTTTCTTTTTTTTCCAGATCCAGGCATGATTTGAACAATCGAGGTGAGTCGGCGCTTGTATTAACTTTTCTTGTTAAAGTCGGTTTTTGAATAGAAACTTTGGAGGATGTAGGTACACATATACAAAAAAAATGGTGCATGTGTACGATGAGCTCGATGCGCATGATATGTGTCGTTACGCCATTGTTTCAGGTTTGTTGTTCACTCCTTTACCTTTTGTTACCTTTGATTTCTTAGAGGTATATGCCCGCTTTTTAGTAATTTATAGTTTTAAAAAATTGAACAAAATTTATTACAGTAAAATGGATTAACATTTGGGAATTGTTTATGTAATTTGATATAATAAATGGATTATGTACGTAATTAGACTTCGGGTTCGCTCACTACATATTTATAATTAAAATTGTTGTGTACGATTTCAATCTGTCGTCTGTATCTGTACTTATGTAAAATAAATAAGTAAATAAATATTTTTTTTGCATTTTGGCTGAAGATCGAACTCAGTAGCGTGTGTGGACAGGTCTACATTTATCTGTGGTCGCATTTATAATGACGATGGTGATGAAAAAACATGAAACGGAACAGTTTTAAATTGAGTGTCCGTACCGAAGGACCATCTTGGTAACAATATTTTCGCTTAAAATGAGTTTGTAGTGTTTCAATGGCCCTCAACGTGGGGATAAGTAAAAACACTTCATTTGCTTTAAGGGAAAGAGATCCTTATGTTCTTGTCTTTCAGTAGCAAGAATTACTTTGTTCCTTTCCTTGATAACTAGATTCGTATTTTCTTTTGTAGTTTTTCAAGATAAGACAGTAAGGACGTTTTTTCTGTCATTGCCTAAATTAGTTTTAAATTCCAGGGTTCAATGGAAATGGGCCCGGTATATGGCAATAGGCTCACCCCCTATTACATGGGACTCATAACATAAATAGTGAAAAGTGGGTGTTACATTGTATAGTGGCATTAATTACCGTAATGTGCACCTCTGCCTACCCCTTCGGGGATAAAAAGCGTGATGTTATGTTATGTTAAGATTCAAAAGACTTGCATTTAAACTATAAAGTTCAAGCTTATACAATAGACAAGGTTAGGTTATATTTTTTAATATTTCCTCTAACCACATAATATTCGAAGCAATTATTATTTCGTAAACTTGACGAAGTAATAAAACTAACCACCGAAAATATAAAAAAAATAAAAATAAAAACGAAGTTCATTCTTTTTGAAGTTAATTAAAACGGGGCCGTTGGAAATGGCTTCCAAATTCAACTTACGTAAGTACCTACCTAGGAAAGTAAGATGGCCGAATACTTGAACATTCTACGAACGAGTGTCCGGAGTTTAAGGACGAAAACGTTTAAACGTGCGTAATTTTATTTCAACTATACCGTCGTTGTTTTACTAACACAACAACTGACTGTTTATTCTCCGAAAAGGAGAAGCAGAGGTGCAGATCTATAGATACTAATATTATAAAGAGGAAAGATTTGTATCTATTTTTGTATGTTTGTAATGAATAGGCTCAAAAAGTACTGGGCCGATTTAAAAAATTCTTTCACCAATAGAATGCTACATTCTTTCAATTTGACATAGGCTACATTTCATTTTGAAAAAAATTAGGGATCCTTGGTAAAATTTGAACAATGTAACCGAAGGTGTAGAAAAACGAGTCTAAAATGTCTTTCGTCGAATGCGCTACCGAAACTATTAGCGATAGAACAAAATAATGTACAACAATATTGAAGAACACCATAATGTCTACAAAAAACTCCGCCGTAGCATATGTCAAACTATTGTAGTTTTGTCACTACAACAATCCAAATTTCCAAAAACAAATAATTGTCTACCCCGTGCGAAGCCGGGACGGGCTGCTAGTATTATATATATAGAGGTATATAATTACTAACTATTGCCTGTTACTTCATACGCAGAGAATATGAATTTAACATTTTTATGTTTCAATTTTCCAAAGTAAAAGTCGGTAGCCTACGTTACTCCTTAGTACATCAGCTAACTGCCAATAAAAGTTCCTTCTAAATCGATCCAGCCATTCCAGAGATTAACTAGTACTAACAGACAGACAGACAAAAACTGTTATTTTGATATGTGTATCGTATGTTTAAGCATGTAGTAAAACGCGGTTACTTTAATATTACAGACACCTTAATTATATATCTATCTAATATATAAAATTCTCGTGTCACAGTTTTCGCTGCCAAACGGCTTGACCCATTTTGATGAAATTTTTCGTGCTTATCCGGTATCTATAAGAATCGGCCAACATCTATTTTTCATCCCCCTAAATGTTAGGGGTAGTCCACCACAAAATTTTTATTTTGGTCAAAATTTTTAATTTCTATTTTTTTATGATACAACATACAAAAATACATACAATCGTAAATTTTCACCCTTCTACGAAATTATTTATATGGCAAAACAACGTTTGCCGGGTCGGCTAGTATCTATATTAACACCCACTTTCCGCTAGTGTTGCCAAGTAAGTCCCTTTTGACGGTGGTGGTTTACCCAGACGTTTTTGAACAACTGAAAATATCTCCAGTTTACACTTTGTATCCAACTCGGGACCTCTCTTGTTTAAGCACACTTGTGACATCTAAACCAACGAAGCATTCTGTAATAATAATCTTCACGATCCTCTGAGACTCATTTAAATGTGGGAGAGCCATGGTTCGGCACGAATGGGCCGGCTCGACCGGAGTGATACCACGGCCTCACAGAAAACCGACGTGAAGCAACGCTTGCGTTGTGTTTCGTCCTGTGAGTGAGGTTGCCGGAGGCCCAATTACTCTCCCCTTCCCCAATCTCCCCAATCCCTGAATCCCCAACGATCCTCAAACTCCTAATCACCAAATGATCGGTAACGCACTTGTAACGCCTCTGGTGTTCCAGGTGTCCATGGGCGACGCCGATTGCTTACCATCGGGTGATCCGTCCACTCGTTTACCGGCTTATGCCATAAAAAAAGACTCAAATCAAATCCGAGCTTAGACTTCTTAAAACTAAAGATTTTGCATTCATACATAACCACTACAAAGTCAAGTTTCCACAAATACCACACACACACAAACACTCGTCATTAGATTGCGCGACATGACAGCTGAACATACTAAACAGATCATTAACGGATATGACATAATCTGAATAAAGATTGATGCGTTGCTTCCGAGCTTGATGTATAAATATGCGCCTTCCTTGACTTGTACGAACTAACTTGCCTTGTTAAGCATCGGTTGCATTAGTGAATTTGTTATAGACTAGCTTAGCTCCGTGCCTTCATTTAGAAATATCGTTTTGTCAAAAATCAAAGAGATCCTTCTCTTTGCTTAAGCTAATATTAATTAATACTATGGAGTCTGGATTATTGAATCCCATGTAGACTTTTTCTGTAGCAAATTCCTAAATTCAGTAAAACCAAAGTATATAAGTATAAGGGCGCGGTTTCGAAACCTACCAACGGCAACGGCAAGTACCAATGTGACTTTTTCCGAGTTACATGTACTTTCTAAGATTATCTAGACACCACTGACAAACGGTGAAGGAAAACATCGTGAGGAAACATAACATCACGCCTTTTATTCCCGAAGGGTTAGGCAGAGGTGTACATTATGCCACTGGACAATGTAACACCCACTTTTCACTATTTATGTTATGAGTCCCATGTAATAGGGGGTGAGCCTATTGCCATATACAGGGCACAATTCCAGACTCCGCGCTACTACTGAGAATTTATAAAAACCCAGTAGTACTTTGCCCGACCCGGGAATCGAACCCGAGACCCCTTGCCCGGCAGTCGCACTTGCGACCACTCGGCCAACGAGGCAGTCGTGAGGAAACCTGGGCTTGTAATTGCCAACCCGCATTCAGCAAGGGTGATTAATGCTCAAACCTTCTCCGTGTGAGAAGAGGCTTTGCTCACCAGTGGGTATTTATATGCTATTGATGACGAAAGTATGTACATACGGCTACACATCGAGCTTTACATAACCAGTATAAACTGAACGTTAAATGTGCGCAAAGATGATGCAACGCGATACCAGGATAAACTGGTTTTGTATAGATTGATGTGTGGCCGTGTGTACCTATTTTCTAACTTAAGTGTTAGGTTTGCATTTCAATTGCATCGCATTGTTACCAATATCTAATGAACTAAACCAAATTCCCATTTATGGGAAACGCTGACAGTTACACATTTGTTCGAATTATGTATTGTGTCATCATAATGTATCATGTACCTAATGTGTCACTATTAGCTTTCCCAAATGAGCAATATAAAACAAATAAAAATGTGAACAAACAAACACACAAACCAACTACTAAGAAACCAGTTCTGCAACGATATTTCACGCATTATTATTTCATGAATACAACCAAGCGATGTGGTGATGCATAATAATAGTTTAGTGAATTATTTTAACACTCAGACCTGGCCTTGTTACCGAAGGTCCATCGTTGTGGGCATATTATTTTGTCATAGTCCAACCTATTGTCATATGTTAACCATTGTCATAGAAATGAAATGAATTCCTCACTTAATTGTGGCCTCGCTATAATATATGGTATTTGTTTAATTTTCTCTTTGCCATAAATTGGTTTTAACAAGAAAATGTTGCAGGGTTTTAAAAATTGGTATTTTAGGGATGTTTTTCTTTAGGGTGTAAATATTTTTCTTTTATTATGTCCCTGTTTGTTTTCTTCAAAAGGATGGGCAGTAATCAGAATTGCATGAAGGATATATTATGTACTATCTTAATGTATCCTGTATTACCTATTGCGCTACGTAATGGGATACCGTTATATTGGTCAACAAGTGGTACATTTTTTCTAAACCTTGCCCCTCACTGGGATTTTCTCCTGTGTCGTGAATGCATTTATATACATTCAAGTTCACATACACATGATACGCAGACCCGAAACAACAATTTGTGAATCACACAAAGAGTTGCTCCGAGCCGGAATTAAACCCGCTATACGTTGCACGGCAGGCCGGTTGCCAGCCGGTTCTAATGTATCAAGAAGGTTTC